CTCAGGCAGATTTCCTAAACACCTCAGCGTGTTTCTTCCCCTGTACAAGCTTCATCTTTACATTTACCTTCATTACAACTTCACACTGTATAAGCCATTTTCCCAGTTAAGTTCCCAGTGAAACTGTCTTTTCCTCGAAGGGAAGAACCATTTACTATTTATTTATTGCTATACACAGGCAACCCAGGGTGCTATTTTGTTCATACAACTCACTCTTTCTACCTTCATTAAATATCTCTGCTATCTGCTTCTCCAGAGAGAGTAATTAATTTTTCCTCGTTCAAAATTTGACTAAAATGCCTTTTCCTCATTAAATTTTCCTGTTTGCCCTTATTTCACTCTAATCACATCTTCATTTCACCATGTTCTTAGTGTTTATTGATATCTCCTCCAATAAATATTGGTGCTTGAATGGCTTACATTCCATTCCTTTTCTCAACTATCCTAAAACATTTAAGGGTCATCTCCTGAAATAATTTATTGCAGTGTTTTTTAGTTAATTTCTTTCAAACGACCTATTTTTATGCTTGCAGAAGTGGTCAAATATCTATTACCAAGATGCCAAGATTTTTGCCCTTCCTGTATCCAGCAACCTTTCAGTGAGCAATAGGAACAGAAAGGGGAGAAATAAATCACCTAAAGTTTGAGCTATAAAGAAAAAGTTGTTTAACTGAAGCTAAGACCTAGGGAAAAGATACAAAGCTGAAATCCCCCAAAATTAAGGGAAGATTTTCTCTACCAATTATCTCCTTTATTTTTCTTTGTCCTGATGTCAAAGACCAGTGCCACCAACTTCTTGAGAAAAGCCATAAGGCTGGGCTCAACCTTCCTACAGAACTTCTGGGTGATGAACTTCTCATTGTATTGTAACAATTCTGAGGTGAAAAAAAAAGAAAGTGACAAACAAAACATCCAGGAAGGTTCCTTAAATGTTAAGAATAAAACTAAATAAGTAAAATTCTATTTTCTTTAGCTAGCCTAAAAGTTCTTGGAGGTCATCAACCATGTACATTTCTTTTGTAGCCTCTGAATTGTTTCCCTTATTGAGTATGTAGTGGATGATCACAAAATATTATTGACAGATTGGTTACTATATATTTAATTTTTCTCTTTGCTATTCTTCAGGAAAGCTTGTTATTCACAAAACCATGGTGTCTTGGAAGCCAAAAGGAAGTATCCATCTGCTGGTATACATTTTACCTTGGCTATGCATTATACAGAGGTTTCCTCTGGAAATATAAACAGAGGATGCCTGATGAGCAAGAACAAAGAACTATATATAGAGATTAAGAGTAGCAAGGTCAAAGCATGCCCTTCCTCAACCAGATTAAAGGGAGTTTGAGCTCTGCACCTACCTCCTTCCCATGCTCTCCAGCTCCAAAAGAAACTTTCTAACTGCCTATTTACTGAATTCTGATCAGCAAATATAACTAGCTACAATTAATCTAATAAAGCTATGCTTATCTTAATCTGCTTCTATAACAATAGAAAGACTGCAGCTTTGTTTACTTTCTGCGGAGAATAGAGCACAGGGAGAAAAACACCCTAGAATAGGAAGGCAGCATTTATGACCTCTTTATGAAAAGTTAATCTGTGACAAAAATATTTGAAGACAATAAGAAAGTGGAACAGGTTTGGATGAAAATAGCCAATTCCAGTTTTCTTTGAAGTGCCTGAGCTGCTATCCTCTACCCTCCAAATGAAATGCCTGGCATTCACTATGAAAATAGTGGATTAGAAAAATCTGGATTAGATAAAAATTCAAATCACCTTTCCGTGTCTATCTGTCATGATTGGCAGTATTATATTATTTATTTCATTTTATCAAGTATTTATAAGAATTTATGAAGTCTCAGGTCCCTTCTTTACTGAACTTCTAATTCTGGGACTTGCTGTAAAGGTTTCTAGACATGCAGGCTCTACATTAAATGAGTATAATAAGTACTCTGGCTTCACCCTATTATTAAGGGGAAAAGTAAAGATACATCCCAGACTTTTCAGAAGGCATGATATCATAGATGATAGCCATGGTCTTCCAAACTCCGTGCTGTAGGTCTCCTGGTTATGGACAGAATCCTACACTAAACAGACTATAGACTTATTCTCAAAATACATTCACATGCTCCATATTATTATATTATCTCACTATTCTTTCTGAGTTAATGCTTTTATTCCATTGTCCATATTTCCTGCCCATGTGTATCCACTTCAAGGTGGATTTCTGTACTGGGTAAGTCCTCAGAGAATAGATAGTGTGGCTGTGCTGTTTTCTTTGTACCTGGTATGATGCCATGCATTAAAAGGTATTAGTAAAAGGTAACCTTTTGTTTAACCATAGCAGACACTGTCCTACATAATGAGGTTTAACAAGCATCCCTAAGGAAGCTTTTTTAATATCTACTTTACTGATGCGTCATGGGGCTACTCTTCTCTCTTATTTTCCTAGCGTGTGTCTGTGCTAGTGCTACCTCCTTAAGACTTACGCAGGAATGCTAACTTCAGAAAGGTACTGTTTAAACATTATCAGTTACTGAAAAGGCCAGTGTGAGTCCTCTCAGGCTAACACAGTGATGAATTGTTTTATGAGACTAGCTCCTTGCAATTTGAAGAGAATAGGGGCCTAATTATAAAGATCTGGTTGGCAGGATGGCCTGGGCAAGGTTGAAACAGGACTATGTTTGCTTGAGGCTGATCAAGGTGATAAGCTTCCCAAGGGTAGAGAGATGAGACTATAGAGAAGTCCTAAAATGAAAGAGCAAAGGGGAAAAAACCACTTAACTTTCCTATTTTGCCTGTAACTTGCTCTGTACCTAATAAGCTTTTTATTAGAATGGGGAAGGTGATTATTTTAATCTCTATCTACATTTTATTCACTATTAGCTGAATTACTCCACCTTCAATCATGCAAATTCTAAACCAAGGGATCCCTGATCCCATTTCTTATTTACAATACTCCCTTGTCCCTTCACCAATGTGCATTTCTTATACTGTTATCTAACAGCAAAATCAAAAACTTTGATAGAGTAGAACATAAAGAGATTCTGATTAGCTGAAAACCACTCTGAAATACACTGTATTTTGCTTTTTCCATTCTTGCAAAGGAAGAAACAGTAGAGAAAAAGAACAAAATACAGAAAATACCCATTCACAGAATTGTGATTGATGGAATCTGGAAGGACAGTAACGGTCACGGAGTCAATTCAACTCCTTATTTTATAAGTAAGGACACTGAAAGCTGAAAGGCTAAATGTCATATATTGTACAATCAGTTAATACAAGAGCTAAGCTTAGTGCCCAGTTGTCCAACTTGCATTCTAATGTTCTTTCTTTTCATTCTTTATGCTTCAGAAATACCCCACCCTATCCTACCATCTCACACTTAAGTTTAACTTAAGTATGCACCTTTTGAGCCCTGTATACAGTATCACTATGTTCCACAAGTGCAGTGCCCAGCAAAGATTAAAATGCTATTTTATGCACACTATACAAGTACTGAAGAAATCCAAAACTTTAAGAAGTCCAAGCAACTGAACAATGTGAAGTTACTCATATGATAAGAAGATTCTTTGCCTTATGAGAAGAATCCCCCACTCTCTTCTAAATATAAATCCCCAGGTAGGATTATAATAAAATTATTTTATGGTTTAAAAATAAACTTGAACATTTGTATTTATTTGTCATATACGTTACATTAGAACTGGAATAAGTGGCTCTAAATAGAATTAGGAACATTTTTATTCAACCACCAACCATTAAGAATCCTCTAATATTTTACCTGATCCTGTTTAGACTTCGAGACATACTATTCTTCAACAAAATCAACACTAGATTAAGCTAAATGATATGGCCAGAGTTTCAGCCATGCTCTTGAAAGGGATTATTCTTTTCTTTTCTCTTTTCATTCCTTTCTTCTTTCTTTCTCTCTTTCTTTCTCTCTCTCTCTCTTTCTTTCTTTCTTTCTTTCTTTCTTTCTTTCTTTCTTTCTTTCTTTTTCTTTCTTTCTTTATTTCCTTCTTTCTTTCTTCCTTTCATTTTTCCAGTACTGGAGATTGAACTCAGGGTGCTTGTAACGAGATAAATGCCAGTAGGTGTTTTGTTTTTAAGACAGGGTCTCACTGAGTTGCTAAATTACCAAGGTGAGGCTCAAATTTGTGATTCTCTTGCTTTAATCTCCCCAAAGCTAGGATTACACAGGCATACACTACCAAGCTCAGATAATGTCTTTCCTTTCTTATTTCCTTTAATTTCCAGTTAAAAAGAAAGATCAAGTCCTTTTCTAAGATCTGCACTAACATTTAATTATAGGTAACAGTTTTTTTTTTTAATTTTATATGTGTGAAGCATTTTGCAATTCACGGACAACTTTCACATAGATATTATTTGTTGAAGATAAGAATAAGTGGAAAGTTGATGAGTGAGGACCAGGTAGAGAATGTGGTACATCCCAGACCAAGGGCAGGAATGAGGGAGGAGAAACTAGGAAAAAGAAATGGTCCTATTATTTTGTTACAGGAACAATACTGCACTCAGTGAACCTCATCCTACCCTCAAAGATTCTGGATTCCTAACTTGCCTAGGACATTCCCAGTAATATTCTTTTTGGTTCTAGGAATCAAACTCAGGACCTTACGTTTGCCAGACAGGCCCTATGCCACTGAGCTATATCCCTGGCCAGTAATATCTTTAAGGAGTAATAATGTCCAGTTTCATGAAGAAGCAGCACATATTATGTCTTATTCTCATACTGCCTACAGTTTGGAAAGGAAATTGTCCTTCAGATTGTCATCCCCCTCAATCCATCTCTGTTGCTTATTTTTTTAAAAATATAGATACATGTCACTTTTCTTAGAGCAAGCATTCTGGAAGAATGAGACTTCCTAACACTATCATTCAGTTCTTCACTCAACATGATTGAAATACACTGCCAAAATTTAAGTTCCCCCAAACAATTGCCTGATCCAGGTCTTCTTAAAAGAATTGCAAATGTTTCTGTTACATACCTCGACCTGCTGGCAGATCTGTATTAGTTTGGCCATTTGATTTTCTAGTTCACTGTTGCGCTTAACCAGGTTGGTGAGGTTCATCTCCAGGGTTTGCTGTCATCACAAAGTATGAAGCCAGAGGGAAACAGGGAAGAAGGGGGGAAAAAACAATGAGCTTGAGAACCAATTATCATGTGAACTTTAGTCAGTAGACAAATATTTCAGCGATTCATTGAAAGCCTGCTATGGGTGAAACACTTTTGTATGTGTTGGTTAATAATGTATATCCGCTCTAGCAGATTGTCGCTGTTGAGGAAAAAGTGACATTTATGATTTTGTGAGTGGTTACAGGAATTTATTGACATTAAAGCAATCTAATGTTTTTAACTTTTCAAAGTATTTCATAATCATGATTCCATAGTCAATATTCTGTGATTCCATAGTCAATATCTCATTCTTCCCTTGTAATAAGCTCTAGCATGTAATGAACAGATAAGTAGACCAAGAAAACTAAAATTTGTTGAATGATTACTGCTTGCCAGATACTATGTTAAAAATTTTCATATATGCCAATTACCAATCATTACAATCCCACAAAGAAGATGCCAGCATTTTGCTGGTGAGAGGACTGAACTTTAGAGTGAGAATAAAGTATCTGACAGTCATACAACTAGCATGCAAGAAAGCTGAACTGGAACTCAGTCTCAAGCTCACAGTCATGGTTTTGATTTAGTATTCTGTGATTCTTTTTGTTGATGTCATTATATATTTATCAGTAGATTACTTCAAGATTAAAAAGACAGTATTTAGACTGTGAAATTTATCAATATCAAGTATTATATCTCGCAGCTTTCCTTCTTTGGCACTGAGGCATCACACATGGAGATGCTGGGCTTTGAACACAAAGCCTGACTGTCTCAAAAGAGGGCACTCATTGCTTACCATCACTTACTGGTACATATTAGGAGCTCTTTGCACAGTACCACTTGCAAAATAGTTTACAATAGTACTCAGAACACCAGCACATTTTCAGTTCAGCAAGCTACTCTCATTCTTTATGTGAAAAATAAAATATATCACTCTAGATTGACCATAGAATTTTTGTTTTTCCTATTCCCAAGTCTTCAGCTTTGGCAGCTGCTTCTCCTCCAGGTCCTGTGCCTGTATCTACTACTTTCTCACTCACCATCCCAATCTTTCACAAAGTCTATTCTAAATATACTATCCCAACTTAATGGCGCTTACTCTGCTAGTGTCCCTTTCTTCAGTCATGTTTGTTGCTTCATCACTGTCTCCATGATTCCTATGATTTGTAGTTGTTCAAAACTCATTTTTTGGAAGACAGACTAGGAAGGGCACAGTGGATGAGGGGACATGGACAAAAAGATGGGACTTACATTCTTTGCTCCTTTTCTGTCTAGTAAGTAGCTGTAGCTCCTTAATAACCGCAGCACTGCTCCCACAAATATATCCCAGAGGGTGTATTCACATAGATACATGTGTTTCTTTTTTTGTGTGTGGTACCAGGGATCAAACTCATAGTTTTGCGCTTGCCAGGCAAGCACTTATGCCATTGAGGTAAATCCCCGACCCTATATATGTGTTTCTAAGCTTGGTAGTCTGATCTCACTTGTTCTCAAACTGGATTTTGAAGACAAGCTCAACCTTGCTCCACTTCTTGCCAGATCTCTCTTGCTTTCTTTGACTCTTGCTTTCTTTGCTTTCTCATGAACATGATTTTTCACTATTTATTCTATTTTTTCTTAGTTTGGAGGGTTCCTTGACTTTTAAAATCCCACTCCCACCTCAATCTTTGGTCTTCTAAACAAGGACAAGAAAAGAGAGGAAGGAAAATACAAGGACAGAAGTTGTTCATTTCTGCATGATCCCTATGTAGATGTCCAGAACAAAAAGAAATGGCTATTCAGAGATTTAATACAACGAAAGTGTTTTCAACACCATTCTTTGTATTCATAGATAGAGGAAGTGAAATTAAGGTGGATCTTAAAGGACAAGTAGGATTTTACTAGACAGAGAGAGGAGTAGGATAGTCTAGGCACAAGAAGTAGAAGGAGCAAAAGTAAAAATGAGTAAAATAGGCAGCACGGGGCCTGTAGTTCCAGCTGCTCCAGAGGCTGAGAGAGAAGAGCCCAGTAGAGCCCAGGAGTTTGAGGCCACCCTAGGTAATGCAGCAAGACCCTGTCTCAAAAAAAAATACAGGCCATATTCAGGGAACAGTAGTTTAGTTTGGCTACAATTGAGAGTACAAAGAATAGTGGGAGTCAAAGCTGGAAATGGAGACAAAAGCTCTTTTTGAAAGTGTTGAAAGTAGAGGTAAAATTATACATACTGATTTTTTTTTAGCAAAGGCTAAAGGCTGAGGAACAAGGTAATGGTACAATCAGGTCTGCATTTAGAACATTAACAAAGCAACACATGGGGTGGATAGAAAGAAAGAAGCCTGGGAGCAAGGACAGTGGTTAGAAGGAGGCTACAATACTCAAGGTAATTGGTAATACAGGTCTTGGCCAAGCTAAGACAATGAAGAGAAACGTGTTTTAAGAACTATCTCTAAGATGATAATGTGTAATCTATTAACTGGTGATTTCTTACTTTTTTTTTTGTAGTTCTGTATTACTTGTACCCTTACACCACTTTGTTTTGTTTTGTTTTTTCTCTTTTTCCTCTTAAATAAAATTTAAAAAAAAAAGGATTTCCCAGACAGGCATGGTGTTGCCTGTAATCCTAATATTCAGGAGGCTCAGGCAGAAGATTGCTGCAAATTCAAGGCCAGCCAGGGCTATTTAGTGAGTTCAATGCAAGGAACTACATAGTAAGACCCTGTCTCAAAAAAAAAAAGATTTTCCAATTTCCAGGTATGCAGAGATAAAAGAAATACAAGGACTAATAAAAGGAAGCTGGAGTTGGTAATTAGAGGCCACAGATAACCTTTGAAGAAGCAGTTTCAGCAGAGTTTTGGAAAGAAATGCTAAATCATACAAAGTTAAAGAGTATGTCTGTGGTGACAAAGTGGGGCTGCAAGTCTAGACTCCTCCTTGAAAATTCAGCTATCAAGTGAACATGATAGAACTGAGTTTCGCCAAAAGGGCTAGTTTCAATTACAGAATGAGAATTGGTAGTAGATTCAATCCATAGATGCTCTCCTCTGGCAGAGTGGTCCAAATTCTTATATTAATGGAAACTCCACGTATCACCAACAACTATATTGACCTATTAGATAACTATGATATAGATCGCTAAACTCAGAGCAGAGACAATATTATAAATCTGTGTTTCCAACTGTAAAATACTCCTGTTCACACATAGGAATTCATGGGGAGAATATGTTTGACAAATATATGTTAAACTGCTGCAAAACTGGTTATGAAGTTGATATCTCAAAATACTTCAAATTGTAGAGCAGAACTAAGATGTCTCATGTGCGTTCCTCATGTATAGCTCTGAACTAAGACTCAGTTTCCATAAAACCACTGAAAGTAAAAATTAGGGATGAACTCATAATTTTGGGTCTGGTTAGACCATGGGCCCTAGGTTATCATCAAAGATTATGACAAATGGTTAGTTTGCTCTGCCCTCCTAGAAATTGGGAGGATGTCAGTGCATTTTTAACAGCATAGAACTGGAACTGACAAGATGACTGTAATTTCAACCTTGCTTCATTAATATGAAATGCTTTGAAAAATAAATCACTGGCTAATGAAAACACCATCTGTTAATGGCTTTTTGCCACTGTTTTCTTATACTACTAGACATAATTTGAGGAAAACATGGAACATTTACCTACTTCCTATTCATTTACAAAGAATTAAAACCTCCTCTCAAATTGGAATTGATTCCTAGTAATGAACATATGCAAGGGGAAGTAGAGAATCAAAGCAATTATGCAGTCTATTTCCTAACGCTTTCCTTATAATCCCTAGCACTAACAAATCATTTAGAACTAAAAATTCTGGGCCACTCTAGTTTTGAATGATTTGACCAAGTAATTATCATGTCTGTGCTGCAGCTGAATAAAAGTAGATGTCTCTGTGTGTAAAATCTCAGTATGTAAAAATAAGTATGTCTCTTTCATATTGTTCAATTTTGAGAACTGGTTTGTTTTGCTTTTTTCTTATATGGTCCAATTAATGAGTGGGCCAAGTTCACTCTGTTCAAGCCTGATGAGTACAAGTTTCTCAGGACAGTTGAACCATGACAGCAAGAGAGCCAAAGTGGCAGGGAAGATTGGAATGGTGATATCTTTTAGGAGGAAATGAGGACAGGAGATTGACAGACAGAGGAGGACGCTCCCATTTCCTGTTGCAGGAGGTTACCTCTGAGAGTGTCTGTCTGTGCTTCCCCATTGTGAGAGTACAGAAACCATGTTAGCTTATGCATCTGAGACCCTCTTCACTTGCAAATAACTGCATCGCTCTCTCTCACAAAATCATATACGTGTGTAAACAACACAAAATAAGGGGAAGATTTGCCTGGATTTTAACAGGGCCAAGATAGCTAAAATGACATTGATCGTACTTTTTTAAACCCAAGTTCCACTTCATTTGTGTTACATAGACTCAGCATCTTTGTGCTGTGTAGTACCTTTCCCAAAGAGTAACACACTTTGTGACCTGAGGAAGGCTGACACAGGCTGTTCTTCCAGATAGCATCCCATTAAAAGAAATGGTTTCTCTAACCCTCCTAAATAATTACTATTTTTCCCCACTCCTCTAAACAGAGATTACTTCAGGTCACTTTCTCATTGGCTCCCTTAGGAAACTTAGCCAGAGCTGGGATAAAACTCAGTGGCACAGCACCTGCCTGGCAATCTCAAGGTCCTGAGTTTGTTTTTCTGTAGGAAGAAAGGAAAAAAGGAGAAAGGAAGAAAGGAAGAAAGGAAGAAAGGAAGGAAGGAAGGAAGGAAGGAAGGAAGGAAGGAAGGAAGGAAGGCAGGAAGGCAGGAAGGCAGGAAGGCAGAAAGAAAGAAAGAAAGAAAGAAAGAGAAAGAAAGAAAGAAAGAAAGAAAGAAAGAAGGAAGGAAGGAAGGAAGGAAGGAAGGAAGGAAAGAAAGAAAGAAAGAAAGAAAGAAAGAAAGAAAGAAAGAAAGAAAGAAA